ATTGACATCAAATGCCATCCGCTACAATTTTAAAAAAGTGTATTTGAACTTGAATTGATGAATAGAAAGTATTTTATTACGGATTGAAAATTTGAACAAGATGTGTGTATATATATATATATATAGGGGAAGTGTGAACTAATAGTAGGAATTGAAAAATGCTCACTACAATAATTGTTTCAACTTTTATTTTTTAAAATTTTTATACCACGGTAGATGCAAGACAATCCAATGATAGATTTTAAAAATTTCAGCTGTTAGAACATTTCAATCTACTACTCAAGAAGTTTGTCTAATAATTAACTTTAATATGAGGCTATATACTTTGAACTGAAATTTATTCAAAAAAATTTTGATTTAATTAGCATCACAGCAATATATTTCCTTTGAAATGAATACGTCATAAATTGATTTAATATTTCTATGTCTAAATATTAAAAACATGAATCAAAAAAACATTTTTGGTATTTTTATTAGTTTCCAGATTTCTACACAGATACTCTAAAACCAACACATAGAATTTATAAATTTTGAACAACAATTAAATAAAACTTGAAATTAAAAACATCAAATAACATCTTATGTATGGCTTTCTCTAAATCACATAATGATCATTCTTTGGCACAATATGCTTTCAAGGACTGAAAGGATGACACTAAAAGAAAAAGTTCAGAATATTATTAGTTATTTAGCATTAAATGTACTTTAGTCAATTAAGAAATTTAGAATATTTCCATCCTTCTCCTTAAAATTTAAAACATCTATTGCTTAAATGAAATACAATGAGTGAATTAATGTTGGATTTCAGAAAAACCCTGCAAAAAAATTCAGAAATAAAAACATATAACAGCTTTAATGTTATCTTATTATTTAAGTCTAAAAGAGCATATGAATGAACACATAGTAACATTTCCAGATAAGTTTCTTAGATCCAATGTGTCATTCCTTTCATCTTTAACTTTTTGGTAAAGTCCCATTTTATTATTGAAATAATTTATGCAATATTTGAAGTTCTTAATGCTTTTAAATCAAGTTTTATTCACTATGGAATAAAACTAACTCTCTTAATACATGAACATTTCTTTTTTTATCCTTGTCTTATTTTATTTCAGGTACAAACAAAAAAAAAACAAAAAATCAATAGAAAATAAAAATTTTAATAGAGGTCTAATTCCAAAAAAAATTTGAGATAAAAGCCTCAAAATATCTAGAGGAAATTTGGAAAATGTATATATAGAAGCCACATTGAAATTGGTGTAGACTGGTAATAACTTCTCAAAGCTTTAATATGTGTCTTAGTAAAGATCCAACAGCCATATGTTAACTCAAAGTGAAAACACACACATTCAAAATATCTTTCCTTAACCTAACTTAACTAAAATTGTGTCAATTAGGTGAAATAGTAATGCATTTCCAAATGAAGTAATTTCCAATGTCTGGATACATACTTAATACATATGCAAAGATACAAGAGCCTTAAAATACAGCTAATGTCAAAAAAAGATTGATTTTTTAAAATAATTTAATGCACCTGTATTAATAAATAACCTGTATAATGTATAATAATTCAATGAACCTTTTTCAATCATATAAACAAAATTAATTTTAATATAACAATGTATATAAATTTTTAAAAAAAATCATTCATATATTTAATAAAAATTTAACAGAACAAAATGGGAAGTCCAGATGTCACATTTCATATATTAGGAGTTCTTGAACTCAAAACTTTTATGAAAATAAAGGGTCTTGATAGTAAAAAGTTAAGAGGAAAGAGCTTTTTAAATACACAATTATAATTGGTTTTAAAATTTTTAAAAGAAATTTAGAAATTTGAACCAAAATATTTTAAATTACCGGTAATTGTAATTCTAAGAGCTTTTAGGAGAGTGGAGAAAAATTCTGCTAAAAATTTACACATAATGCTAAAAATGCTTTTCATCATGTAAATAATGTTTTTGGCAATTATAAGTAAAAGGTAGGACATTGTGTTTGAATTTTTTTAAAGGTACTATCTCATGTGCAACCTATACATTTTTACAGAAAAAAGTTTTTAAAATCTTTTTTTTTTCCCCTCAAAAGCTCTTTCCTAAAATAACAATGACAACAAAAATTCAGCTCATTTTTGAAAATTATTGAAATCATACTTTAAGATCTAATGTATAAATTCGAGAAATAGATAAATAAGTGCAGCTCTAACTTAGATCTAAGGCAAGATTTATTTTTGGGACATATCAATGCTACTAAATAATATTTTTACCTGTTTTCATCTAATTGTTGTATGTTCGAATGAGGGTAAAACCGTCCTTGATGATACCAACTATCTGAGACATTGCAACATTTATCTGCTCACCATATGTACGGAAAAATGGTCCAACAAAGATTTTGTATAAGTAGAAGGATCCATTGTGGAAGAATGGTGCATTGACCCATATCA